CAATAAAAAATTTGTTCAAAATGTGTTAAGATTAGATAAAGATAAAATAATGTTCTACTAACATTTTTTAGTTTTTACTAGCTGTACGAAAATATTTAGCTTCGTTGTCTTTAAAATTGCAAATTATTACCATGGAAAATCCAAATTCATTCAAATAATGACGAATGGTGTAACACATAACACTCGTACTTAAACTTATTAATCATAGTAAATTTGAATATTCATTGAATAACTTAATACATAATTTAAAAGTTTTATATATAATGAAAGGTGTCGGTTATGTTTATATTTACAAACATAATTATCAGTAAACTCATGAAAATCGATATTTTCTATTTTAATATGTGTACATCTTCAAAATCGATATATTAGTTTTTTAAAGATAGGACTATAACTTTTAAATTGTTATTATTAATTATAGGAGCTTCGAGTCAATTGAAAAGAAAAAAAAAATAACTTCAACTTTTATATTGACAGTATAATGTGAAATTAATCCATTACCACTCAGGACCTATTTTATACTTACATTGAAATTACAATAAACTATTTCTAATTTTTTAGGTTTATAAATGCATTTAAATTAATATTAATTAGATAAATAAATCGTATTTTATGTTAATAATATAATATATATATATATATATATATATATATATTTCACTACTATTAAAAAAAAAAATATATATTAAAGTAACTTAAATGTATTAAATACTTATATTCTAATACTTTTATAAAAATCAATTTTACGTAATGAGTAAAATCAACTATACTTAAGTACTATACGGTAGTAGTACTTACAAAGTAAGTACATAGGACAAATTTACAAATTGTTAATATTTATACTGAATTTCATAAATATCGATAATATTTTTCATAACACACACTTGTAGATCATGTTGAACAGTACAAAAGTGATAAAACTAATTTTAATTGCATCTACTTCAAGTCAAGCTGAATTAGCTGTATGTAAACAAAATTCGTATTGTCGTTATTTAAATCTTTTTGATTTCCTTAATTCTTTATCGAATTTTCGACAAATCTTTCTCCGCAATCAGTGATTTATCTAGTCATTGGCATATCATTGCTATGTGATTTCTCTATTCATATTTAACATTTATAATTATATAAAATTATTCATTAGAAATAATTGCATGTATTACTAATAATTTATTTATTTATTGATAATTGTACAAATAATTTGAATTATTTATTTATTGATTAATTGAGAAAATCTTGAAGATCATTACTTAGAATGAGATTTATAAACAATTTCAATCCACTACAGTTAATAATTAATTAGATTTCTAATGTATAATTCGTATATTTTTTTATGAAAAATTGTTTTGATAATATTATAAATAGTTTGTTTTAAAAATTATGAATTTTTAAAACATTTCTTTTTATTATAAATTTAGATAATAAAGGCGATTGAATCTCTGTATAAAGTAAAAGATAATATGTCATATTATATTATTAAATCAATCTTTTCATAATATTATAAGAAAAAGACACAATTATAAATAATTGTAATAAACTACTATGTAGTAAATTATTAATACATAATTTCCTCAAATTAATTATAAAATTTAAATAACCGTTTGTCCAACGAATATAATTTATTTATTTTATTATAAATAGCACTTTTTAACCTATTAAAGGAAAATCCAATTTTTCATTAAAATAAATTCTTAAATGAATTCTTATTGTTATATCAACAACTTTTACCATGAATTATGAATATTTATTCATAATTGTAAGTTATTGTTCGTTAAGAAGTCGTTTGTAACTTTGACTATATATTTAATAATTATTTTTAATTTTGTAGATCTTTTTATATTTAATTTTGTATAGATATAAGAATATATGATAATTTTAAAAGAATATTAAACTCATATACATCAGAACTTGTTTGAATAAATTAAGAAATATTTCCAATTTCATATTTTTTATTGAATATTACTAGTTACAGAGAAATATAAGAAATAATTCTGGGGATTGAAAATAAAATATAAACGAAATAAAAAAATGGAACTTCTGTTATTTTCTTAGGAATATCGTTTGATTTTTCATCCGCCATGAGCCCAACCTTATTCAGTTGCCTGTCTATTCATGAGTATATTTTTTAAATGTTTTTTTTTTTTTTTTTTTTTTTTTAACATAGCACATCATGAATGTCTATGCCATTTACATCTGTTGACAATCTACTTTAATATTATAAAACATACCTATCGATGTAACAATATGCACCAAAGTCATACAATTGTTTGCACATGTGTTTAAGTAATTTCAGTAATAGCCTTGTAGAACTTGAAGGACGGAGCCTGTGCTCCTTCGACTTCTACAAAACACATACAATCGTGTCTAAATTAAAGTAAAAAACATCAAATCATTACAATATATCAGATACCATTTAATTATTCTTTATGATAAATAACTGGACGAAAAATATGTTATAGAATTTAAAAATTAATTATAAAAAGAATATTTCAACGTTAATTTTTTATAAAACAATATGAATAAATAATATAAATTTTAATGAAATTTTATCTAAACTTTTTATATAAAATTGTGTATTGAGTTTTTATATATTAAATACTATCATATTATCGATTCCCAATTTTTTTCATTTTGTGATTTATGAATCTTTTAAAGAAGAAGCACATGATATTTTTGATAAAACAAAATAGTTTTAAAAATTGGTAGAACATTGCAATAATAAGATGCAATATTTATAAGAATTTTCAGTTTCGTGTGTAAAAATATTTTTTCACAATATTACATTTGTACAAGAAGATATCATTGCAAAGCTTTGGAAAAATAAAACGTATGTAATAATGAAATGTAACGAGTACGCTTAGGATTGCAAATTCTAAATATGAAAAAAATTAAAGAAAGAAGATTCTTAAATATATTTAATATTCTCGTGATTGATAAATTAATTAATTATTCATAGTAATGCATTAACAACTATTAAATATTATTTTACGATTCAGATATTCAACGTACAGTCATGCGTATATATGATTTTCCTCGCGTATTAATATATAATGGATATATGGATATATTACTACAATTATTGTATTTTATACATCATTGCGCATATATATATATATATATATATATATATATATATAAATATATTTAATTAGAAAAATAATATTTTTAATTGTGATTTTGAAAGAATAGATACGTTTTTAAGTAATCGCTTGGTTTGCGTTTTCACCACTCATATGATTGCTTTCGACTGAATAGTATTTTACAAATTACTGTTTTATTTAAAAAATATTTAATTTTATTGTATTTTAACATAATAATAATCTATAAAGTTAGACTGTGTTCTTAAATTGAATAATATCTTTATTATTATAACCTTCATATACTTATTGTTTAGTTAGAAAGTTGTCTAAGCTTGTTAAAATTAAAAATTCTTTTAAAGCTATAATTCACAATAAACAATAATTATTGGCTTATACATTAATAATAATAAAAAAATGAATAGAGAAAAACAAACGATAATTTTCAACTTTCAAGCTAATTTTCAAATTAACATAATAAATAAATTGTATAAATATACAGTGTCATAAAAAAAAAAAAAATACAATCATAAATCCAATCTCCGGTAATAATTTTCACAATAAAAGTTTAGTTGTTTACGAATTTATAAAACAAAATAATTTATTATATTCTTTAATATGCTTTTAAAATTTAAATGTAAATTATTGAAATTCTTTATTTTACAACTTTTTGTACAATTATTCATTCAATTAAAACCACGTGTGCGTGCACGTGCGTGTGCGGGCGTGTGTTATACTTTTATATTATCATACTCCAAATATCTTTTATTACTATCAAACGCCATAAATAAATTTAGTTTAACGACGTAAATGAAATAAATTTTTTACCAATTAATGTGAGAAACTTATATAAACTTATATAAACTAATAGCATACATTGTCGACCTATTTTTAAAAGATTGGTTTATATACTTTTTAAATAATTTTTTCAATCAACTTTTATGTTTAGTATTTCAAAAATATAAATAGCACTTGTATGCGCATGCGTATCAAGCAAGTACTTACTCTCGGTATGAAATATTATTTTTATATATAAACTTTATTTTTATATATTTAAATAAAGTGGCTCAAATATTACAAGTGTTTTATGATTAAATTAACCGTAAAATTTATTCAACATTTCAGTTAACATTATGAAAATTATAGCTTACAATGATACAAGATTCGAAATTATAATTTCTAGTTTCATAATTTCTTTTTTTGTCTTAGAAATTGAATTCCTTTAAAAAAAAAAAAAAAAAAAAAAAAAAAATGCTTGCGTTAGGTAAAATAAAATAAAAAACGCAGGTGAATTGATGAAATAAAGATATATTTACATATTTATTTTATTATTTAATTTATAGTTTGATACATAAATAGATGGGAGGTTATCTTCGTCACTTATGTATGTATCTAATCTATATTATCATAATTTAATCATAGTTTGTCGACGTTGAAATGACATTTAAAAATTTTAAAGTTACGATTTTGAAAATTCAAGTTTAATGCAGTTTGTGTTATAAAAATGTTTCATTTACATTTGATAATATTACAAAATAATAAGCAATAAATCGCTATATTCATCTGATTTTTGTAATAGTAAAATCTAATTTATCAAGATTCTTTGAAAATGTAAATAAAATTTCCGACATTTTATTACGCAAGGATATCATTACTACATATTTTTCATTTATTGTTCAAATTATCTTATTCCTTATTCACAAATTTATTTGTTTTAAATTTTATATTCCTTAGTTAACAGAACTTGCAATTAAATAATTTTTATATTAAGAAATATTTAACCTAAAAGTAATATCATTTATAATATTTATAATTGCATTATAAGTTTTTATTTACAAATAATTTTATCGGCAAAGTTTATTATTTGATTAAAAATAATTACTAGTAATCGGCTATAAAGTTTTATTTTATCATTTTTATTTTCAGATGAATTTGTTAAATGTGTAAAAGATGTATTTATTAAGATTTCTGCAAGTAAATCATTTGCTTATGTAGTATTATGAAAATTCTGTTAGTCAAAAGTATTAAAAAAGAGCAAAGTCAATATGAATAAAACAAGTATGACATATTGTCCGTTAAATGTAACATTTGATGAAATTTGGATTAATCATGGACTTTCCAAATGTTTTATGGATACTATTAGTTCTTCTATAATAGCTCTATATTTATTAATATTTGGTACAATTCAATTATGGATGTATCAACGATATGGTACTGAAATAGACTTTCGTACATTACCAAGAAGTAAATTATATATATTACAAAAGTTATTTCTATATATTATTCCATTGCTCAGTCTCCTACGAATTATATTACAAGCAACAATTTTAGATGACAAACAAGTATATGGTTACATGGTAAAGGAAAATGATAAATTATATCTTCATGAACTTTTGTTTAATATTTGTTTTATCATTTTTTTTCTTACTATTATTTCATTAAACAAGAAATTTATTAAAATCTTTTTAGATTCTTACAACAAGCGTAACAGTAATAATATATCCTTACTCAGTTTATATATTGAGTATAGAGAGACATAAATTATTACCGAGTGTCCCACCTCGTGGTCATGGTATTGTTTTACTTGGATTTTGGACACTTGCATTTATTGCAGAAAATCTTGTTTTTATCAATATTTGGAAATGGGAATGGTGGTTTAAATTGGATACGTAAGAAATTTTTTATTTTAATATACGAAACTATGTAATAAATGAAAAAGACATATCTTATTACTATATCCAGCCTTAATTGATAAATGCTTATATATTAATTTTTTAACAATATAAAAAACATTATAACAAATGAGTTATTTATGCATTTATTTTTTAAATCATAAATTATTCCTATACTATATAATTTCTATTAAAAATAAATATAAATTATTGTTTCAATATTCCAAATTTATTGTATAATTATAATATTAATTATGTATAAAAGTATTAATTTTTTAATGAAGAAAAGTTGAAATAAATTCATATTTATTAACTGTCAACTTTTAAATATCTTTAAATGTTAATTTGCTTTAAAATACCTGTAATTTATTTTCAGACTATCTGATAAAATAGAAATGATACTATTTATCTCAAGATATTGCAGTAATCTTATAATCTTCAGTCTTGGATTACATGCACCTGGAATTATTGGTAATTCACCAAGTAGTTATTATAATTTTAATGATGGATCCAATGTACGATCAAGATTTGAAAGGGTAAGTTATTAATTATTTCTTATATATCTTTATATTTTTTCTATTAATATTTTGCAGCTGTAAATTTTATTATTTTATTACTAATATTTTTATTAATAGTACTGTTTGAAATATATATAATTTATTGAAAATCATATTAAATTAATTAATTATCTTTTAATTTGTATATATTAATTGATCTTTTAATTGATACAAATATTTAATTAAAACTTGTAATTTATGTTCAAACGAAATATCTCAAAATATTATGTTTAAGAAATATATAAGTAGTTAAAATTAAAATAATTTTATATATTATTTTATATTTTATTAGTGATTCAAAATTTAAATTATGTAAATTATAATGATTTTTATTTCCTGAAATATCTTTATATCGAACAATTTGTGCTTAATATAAATTTAATGAAGCAATTATCATTAATTCATTGTAATTTTCAGCAACCAAATGGAAATGTTTCAACATGGAAAAATGGATGGTATAAGATAAAAACTCTGGCGCCCTTTCTTTGGCCAAAAACAAGTCTTTTACTTCAGCTCAGAGTGATAATTTGTTTTGCATTACTTATTATGGGCAGAATAATTAATCTTTATGTTCCTATTTATAATAAAAAAATTGTAAATAGTGTGACTGATACTCCAGGACAATTCAGGTTTACCAAATATTTAAAAAGTAGAAAATACATAATAAATTTATTTAATTGCATATAAATTGAGGAAATTTTTTTTAATTCTAGATGGGATTTGGTTTTAATTTATGTTGGATTCAAATTTCTTCAAGGAGGTGGTACTGGAGGTATGGGCCTATTAAACAATTTAAGATCATTTTTGTGGATTCGTATTCAACAGTATACGACTCGTGAGGTGGAAATAGAGCTATTTCGGTAATTTGTCGATTAATTTAAATTTTATTAACATAGTATACATATACAAAAGAGGCAGATACATTTTCCTAATTTTGTTTAGACATTTGCATAGTTTATCTTTGCGGTGGCATCTTAGTCGTAAAACTGGAGAAGTACTTCGAGTAATGGATCGCGGCACTGATTCTATTAATAATTTATTGAGCTATATTCTTTTTTCCATAATACCAACAATTGTAGATATTGTTGTAGCAGTAATATTTTTTATTAGTGCATTTAACAAATGGTTTGGATTAATTGTCTTTTTAACAATGGTTTTATATATTGGTAATGTATATTATTTGTGTAACCTTTATGTTCTACAAATATATATATGTATATGTGATAATTTCTTTTATTGTTATTATTATAAATTTAGTTGCTACTATAAATGTAACCGAGTGGCGTACAAAATTTCAAAGACGTATGAACTTAGCCGATAATGCTCAAAAGGCACGAAGTGTTGACAGTTTAATAAACTTTGAAACTGTAAAGTATTATGGAGCTGAAGCATATGAAATTGATTGTTATAGAAAAGTAATATTAAAATATCAAAATGAAGAATGGAAGTCCATGATAATTTTAAATATTTTGAATACATTGCAAAATATAATTGTCAGCTGTGGACTTCTTACAGGATCTTTATTGTGTCTTCATTTAGTTATAAACAATGAAGGATTAACTATTGGTGACTACGTTTTATTCGCAAGTTATATTATTCAACTTTATGTTCCATTAAATTGGTTTGGAACATATTATAGGTAAAACTAATCATTGTAAATGATTAATTCAAATTATGTATTAATTATATGCATTTATTAAATTGATTTTTTTTTTTTTAATATTTTATAATGAAATTGATGAAAGTTTTTAACACTTATTCATTCAAAATGTTAGAACACAAAATAGATTTTTAATTGAAAACGTCTATAATTCCTTATTGAAATATTAACTCATGATAATTTATTATATTTTTAATAGAGCTATACAAAAGAACTTTATCGATATGGAAAACATGTTTGATCTACTCCATGAACAACCCGAAGTTTTAGATACGTCAGGTGCTGAACCATTAATAATTAATAATGGTCAAATTGAATTTTCAAATGTTTCATTTGGATATATACCAGAAAAGATAATACTAAAAAATATTAGTTTTATTGCTCCCCCTGGCAAAACCGTCGCTCTCGTAGGACCTTCGGGTGCAGGAAAATCAACGATAATGCGTTTACTCTTTAGATTCTATGATATCGATGAAGGTGCCATTAGTATAGATGGACAAAATATAAAAACTGTTAATCAGGATTCTTTACGAAAAGCCATCGGTAAAATTATTTTTTATTTTTAATTTGCAAATTAATAAAAAAAACTATCGTAACTTGTTCTGTTCTTGCTTTTAAAAAACTATTTTTAATATAATCGATCGATCATTTAATAAAATATTAATAAAACTTAATAAATCCAATCGATTTAACGATCGGTAGAACTACTTTTACAATACGATTTAAAATATTCGATAAAAATATATATTTCATTATTACTACGCGAATCCTATTTAACTAAATTATAGCACATTTTTCATCCTCAATTATTGATTAATTATGTCATTCTAAAATTAAAAAATTATAGGGGTAGTTCCTCAAGATACTGTATTATTTAATAATACAATAAAATTTAATATTCAATATGGAAACATTGATGCTCCAGAAGCTGACATTATAAAAGCAGCAAAATATGCTGATATTCATGAACGAATTCTTACATTTCCAGAAGGGTATGAAACACAGGTAAATATAATTTTTTAAACTGGAAAATTTCAAGTTACAAATACAGTGTTTGAATGGTAGTAAAAAATCAAAATGAGTATATAATAAAATTTTGGAAAATTTGAAAAAATACATATATAGAATTATAAGTAATTTGAAGGCAATTCATTTTGTTCTTCATATTATTACATTTTAATAATTTAAATAATGTAAAAAATAATTACTCAATTTTTTTTAATTTTAAAGTTTTATTTTCTTACATTATACAAGAGTTTTAATTTGAACAATCACTGTACTTGGTAACTTTTAAAGAGTTAAATATTTTTAAACATTAGCGATTAAAATATTAAGGTTGGAGAACGAGGCTTAAGACTTAGTGGTGGAGAAAAACAGAGAATAGCTATTGCCCGAACGTTTCTAAAACTCCCAAAGATTGTTTTATTAGATGAAGCTACTAGTGCCTTGGATACTCAAACAGAACGTAATATACAAGCAGCACTTAATCGTGTATGTGGGAGTCGCACGTCGCTAATTATAGCACACAGGTTGTCAACCATTGTTCATGCTGATGAGATTTTAGTACTGAAAGAGGGTGAGATAATTGAACGAGGCAAACACGAGGATCTGATATCGCAGAATGGTGTATATTACAATATGTGGGAGTCACAGCTTAAAAGTGAACAAGAAGCCACTAGCAATTTGAAATATTCTTTAGAAAACAATACGAATTAAATATTTTTATGAGGAGGGATAATGGGACTGACGTTATAAATAAACTTTAGATCATTGTGTCATTTGTAGACTATAAAAATGTGTATAAAAAATTGTGTTAAATAGTACATTTAATAAAATCAGTTAAAGAGAATTATAATTTTGTATAACTTTCAAACATGGCATATTTAAAAGAGAAATATGTTTTAAAATACAATCCTCTTTCTTTTCTAACAAACAGTAATTTAAATATTTTCTCTGAAATGAAGGCATCTTAAAATAAAAACATTATTTCTTTATAAAAAAAAGATAATTATATGCATGATTCAGTTTTATCTTAATCTGTAAACATTATGTTTGTAAATTACTATGCGAAACAATCATACTACTTTATAATGTAGAAATAGAAATGCTTGAAACTAGTTTACAAAAGCAAATATAAATATGGTTTAAAATTATACAAGAGAAATTTGATATCTTATATAAAAATAGATAATTTCAAGAAATTTCAAAATCATAAATAGTTATGTCTTTATATATTAAAACTAACTTTTCAATATCAGGATTGTCAGTTACAAACTATTAGCATTTACAAATTCCAGCGGCGCTATAATCAAACATATTTAATTTTAAATGTCATAATAACTATGTCTAAATCTTTTATCAATTCGATATTGATGATAAATTAGATAAAATTAAAAAAGAATATTAAATTATATAATAAAAAATAAATTTAAATATGTTCATTTATAATGTCATTGAATAGTAAATCTAGTAATATATTATTCAGTCAATTATATGTATACGATGTGAAATATATACATTTGCCTCTGCACATTTGTGTACTGAATGCATGTATAATCGAACACATACAATGTATAATTTAATTTAATAAACAAAAATATTAAATAAAATACTCATGTTATTAAATATTTTTATTCCTTTTGCTTTCATTAAACTTTTGCCATATCTATTGATATAATTTATGACTGCTCGAGAGCATTAGCTAATGAACCATCTGCAACCCAACCAGTTTCATCCATTGGCTCTGCCATTAATTCTTCATTCTCACCCCAATAAAAGTAATAACTTGATACAAAAATAAAATTCAATATATAAAGAATCTGTTCAAATTAAATAAAAATGTAATTGTAATTTTTTTTATGAAATTTAAATAACTGAAGTTTGATTAGGATTATTAATACCTTTATTAAATCGGAATTTTCTCCCAACATTTTTAAAAATTAAAAAAGATTTTTATGTTTTTAACGTTTTCATCTACGATTTAACAGAAAAAAAATGTAGGATCAACCAAACAAATGATTAGTTGATTAGTTTACTTACATATAAAAATTCAAATATGTTCAGACTTCAGTCAGCTGTAAAACCTAACCCTAATCAAAATGCCTGCGTAAAAATGATAAAATGATAAACAGCTGTTGAAAATTGTAAATATTTTCAAAGTTCATTTTATCTTTTAATTTTACATATTGCTATAATGAATAGTTTGGGTTTAAGTTTAATTTTCAAAATGGGCTGTATATGTGCAAAAGAAACAGTAACGGTAAATGGTAGAAAATATACTATTTTGGAGCACCTTGGAGAAGGGTAATATACATTAAATTAATAATAATAATGATACTGATAAATTAATAAAATTAGATAATATATTTTTTAAGTTAATAAATTTTATTTCTAAATATATTTCACATTTTAGAGGTTTTAGTACTGTATCTTTAGTCGAAGATAGTTTATCACATAATAAATATGCAATCAAAAAAATTATATGTCATGGTCTTGAAGATCAACGATTAGCCATTAAAGAAATAGAATATCATTCTATTGTTAAACATCCTAATGTTATAGAATTAATTAATTCTACTCATCAAGGAACAGCTGATCCTGTCATTAATACAACAAGCGAAGTTTTAATTGTCTTGCCTTATTATCGTGTATGTAATCAACAATATAAATTATATATTTAAATTAAAACTCTAATAATTATGCATAAACACGTGCGCGCACACACACACACATTTATATATATATATATATATATATATATATATATGCATGTATGCATATGTTTGAATATTTTCTTTTAGAAAGGAACTTTGGCTCATGAATTAGAGATGCGCTCCAAGATACACGAATACATGAAATCGACGGATATAATAAATATATTTTTACAAATTTGTGAAGGAATTAAAGCATTTCACGAAGCCAAGCCCGAAGCTCTTGCTCATAGAGATTTAAAGACTGCAAATATTCTTTTAGATGATGGAATGTCACCAATAATAATGGATTTAGGTAATAAGCAATTCAAAATTTAGTTTTCAGTTTATTACTACAATTTGTTTAGCGATCAGAAATATTTAAATTCATTTATAATTTTTAATCTTTTAGGTTCGGTAGCACCGGCAAGAGTAAAAGTGTGTGGAAATCAAGCAGCACAATCGTTACAAGAATTGGCAGCGGAAAGATGTTCGATGCCATACAGAGCACCAGAACTTTTCAATGTTGAAAGTTATTGCATGGTTGATGAACGAACAGATATATGGGTAATTATTTAAAATACGTAAATGTTAATGTCACTAGATATATATTTTGATTTATTATATGTAAATAAATAAGTATCGAGCCTACGTCAAATCATTATTGAAAATTAAATAATTTGGTAACTTATATTTTAAAAATTAATTTAAACAAAATGTCGACATATATAAAAATATGCCCAAATAAATTTTATATATTTAAAATTAAATGTATAAAATAATTTACTTGCAGAATCAATAAATCAAATACTATTCAAAATTGTGACTAATTTTACAATAAATTCTATGGAATCAAAGATATTTTTTATTTATATTTAGTTATAGGAAAAATAGCAATATATATCTTATTATTATCATAGAATATTTATATTTTCAGTCGCTAGGTTGTATTTTGTATGCAATGTGTTTTTTTAAGTCTCCTTTTGATACAGTATATGAAAGAGGAGACAGTGTTGCACTTGCAGTTATCAGTGCAAATATAACATTTCCAGAGAGTGCGCCGTACAATGATGTAAGTGACAATGATTATATTATTAATTGTTTATACTATTATTTTGAAATGGAATATTATCATTTTATAATGTTTATATAAACATTAAAAATAACAATGCAATATATATATATATATATATATATTTTTTTTCTTCTTCTTCTTCTTCTTCTTTTTTAAATATAGATACTGTTTAAATATAACAGTTAAATGAATAGAAATAAGTTTTTAAATTTAATATACAAATACTCAGCAAAACTAATATCGTATCACATAGCATTGTACTTTAATTTATAAAACATAAATTTAACAATCATAAATTTATTACTTTCATAGAAAGGCTCTTAAAAATTCTAATTATAAAATCTTTACTTTAATGAATGACTAATCACAAATGTAACGTCTAAGGACAAATATTAAAATACATTAGTCGATATTAAAAATAATTTTATTTCAGGATATGCAAAATTTAATACTATCAATGCTTAAGGTCAATCCAATGGAACGCCCATATATTTACAGTGTGATTGAAAGTGCTCACGAAGTATTATCAAGATTAGAAGGAAGAGTTTAATTTATTAATTTCAGAAATTAACTTTTTCTTAAAAACTGTATATTCTTATTAATATAAAGTCCGTTTCTAAGTTTGAAAAGAATAATTTTTTTTTTTTTTATAGCAATAATTATATATATATATATATATATATAGTATTAAATATCATAGTGCAAATCAAATATTTATATAAAAAAGATGTTGTAAATTAGGATTTTAATGTAAAACTTAAATTATCACTTAAAATGATATATATTTAAATTAATTTCTATTAATTTCTATTAATTTCTGTAAGATTTGAAAGAAACAGATTTACAAGTACACATTAGATTTAACTATTACTTTGTACATATATATTAACTAATTAAAAATAATTAGTTACTAAAACTTTAAATTCAATAACAGAAGCTAAATATGATTTTTTAGCTAAGCACTATATATCATATGCAATTATAATTTTAATGATAACTTTACAGTTATAGATGTAAATTTTTACAGATTGATGAAAGAATTGAATATTCCTTGTCAGATCCTATTATTATTTCTAATAAAAATTTGTACGAATGACTGATTAATTGTAAAATATATTTGTAATACTACTGCAATTTAAGATTTTTAATTATGTGTTTGCATAATTGAAGTATTAATTGTAAGTAGAAATTTGCTTCGATTGTTGTAAATATTAAATTTCGTAATTTCATTTTGAGCCAAAATATTATGTTTGAACATAAATAAAACAGATCTTTGACATTAATAATGCATTTTTATTGCTTTTACATTGATTTTAAAACTAGGTATATTAATTTTTTTTATAGTAACTTAAGCTAGAAAATTTAATAAGAACATGTTGGCGAGAATGTATAAATTCATCTTACTAGAGGTTGCAAAGACTCCATCTTGGATTTAGTATCGGATTGGAAGTACGATAAGATAGAAACGAACATATTTTTTTTTATACACCTATTGAAATTTGCAAAATTATTAAAGAAATTACTTAAAGATTCTCAATTTGACAAGGCTGTAAGTATAACAAAAGCATACTTATTACTAAATGATACTTATATACTCAATTATTATTTCCTTAGTATTTACTAACTCATTTTATCCTTTTATATTCTTTAACTGAAAGCGACCTTTTATCCTTTGCTCAAAATGCTTTGATGAATTTTTAATAATTTAGTAAATTTTGTAATCAACTTTGTTTAATCTTAATCATTTTTAATTTTCAATATTTTATAAACTTGAAAATATGACACCGATGTTTTATCATATTTTATTTATGATTGTTTCTATAAAAGAACCCTAACCTAAAAATTAAACAATATATGTACATATGTATATATATATATATATATATACACATCATATTATTAGTATTTTCTATTAATTTATTTAATTAATTGTAATACTTAATAACTCGCCAGGTTCCTTCTTTTCGTAAATGAAAATTCATTCTTTAAATATAAAACTGCCTGTTTTAAATATTTATAACTGAGAACTATCATAAAAAATTTTATTTTCATTAAGTTTCATAAAGTAGTAAAACATATTCTTTTAAAACAATTAGAAAACTTTGTCTCAAAAGATTCTTAATACACAAATTAGTTATCAGTATTTGAAATGCAAATAATTTTAGATCCGATGAAAAGTTAAGAGTTATTAAATATTTAATATATCATTTCTTTCCAATCATCAGAAAAACTTTATATTCAATTTAATTGAGACCTAATTGAAATAATATAATTGATAAATTATATATATTTGATATATCTTATATCATAAGTGTATATAAGTAATTAATATATCCTTGACGAAAGAAAAATTTTAATTAAAATATCTGTTTAAAACTCACGGTATAATTGATACATATTCTTAATATAAATTACCATTCCCATACCGTTACCATTCCCATTTATAAATGTTTTCGGAAGTGTATGCTGATTTTTCTTTGTAAAATTATAAAATAATAAAATGAAGCACGAAAAATATTTTTATTAAAAATTTTAATTTAATGCTTTAGCTCAGTCAATTAAAGTGAATTGTAAAACATATTTTTATACTAAAAGTATAAACAAATTTTAACTCCCAAATTATTGTTGAAACTAACCAGTATATTTTAAACTACTTTAAAAAAAATTAGTATGCTAATTCTATCGCATGACTTTAAAAATCTGATTTTAAAAATAAATTAACATTTTAAGCCAGTGAAGAGTAAATATTTTATATAATTTCACCGATAATAATATTTCGTATACTAACAAGTTATATGTGAATTATATTTTCAAACTTATTATCATAACCGATAATGTTTAAACATTTATTAAACATAATGATAATAAACTTACATTTGTAAATCTTAATAATTCTGAATTTTAAAACGTTTTTAACCATTGTTTTTCAACGTGAAATGATTTTCATAAAAAATTGGTATATAGGTAAAATAAGTTTTTAATTTTGTAGACATAGTAATAAATTGTCCTACAATCAATTTTAACCATTGGTGTTAAACGGAAATTTATTTATTGGTTAAGAGAACAATTCAATGCCATAAGTATTGATTAACATTTATTTGTACGTTAATTTAAGTTTCAAAAACTATAGTTAACAAAATTATTTAAAATAAAACAATAAAGTTTTCACTTTTCAAACGATGTGTAGATATATTTAAGTGCCGGTTTACGCGCCATATGTACTACATACTTAAATTTCAGTCATGACATCGCAAATGTTAATTCGTTTACGCAATAATGTTAATGATTTTACGAATTCAGAAGCAGAATATAGTTATAACACATTCGCGCGCAATATAATAATATGCTACGCATTATAATAAAATTTTTGATATTATTTTCTACAAAAAAAAGCACAGCGACTTCGTTCAAAAAGAAAAAATCAAGATAATTAGCGACAAATTTGATTTCTTTAGTTTTCTAAAAATCATAGCCGTTGGTCCAAAAATGATTTAATGCATTTAACATAATAATTTAAGTTTGAAATTCCTACACTAATGTTTTACCTTTTAAAAAGTCATCCTTATATAAAACAAAATTCTAATTCGTTAATTAAGAATAATTAAAAATTTTGATTTTGATAATTGCTTCATATTTGATACTATACCGGTTTAAAAATGTTATATTCTGTTATAAATGCAGATATATAAATTCGTACATTTTAATAATGTCACCCGACTAAAATATTTTAAATAATTTGAATATTTTTATAAATAATATCAAATATTTAAAAGATTTTATAGAAATGAAATTTAAGAAAATAAAATATAATATAATAAAACAATTATTTCATTAAATACATTTTAATTTTTAATAGATATTAAATATCAAAGAATAATTACTAATCATCATATCATGTTATATATAGTTTTCTAACTTGTACTTTTCATTATTTATGTAAAATAAGAAATATAAAATTTTATTTTTATAATATTGATTTTCAATAATGAGCTGCAATAATAGTTTGATTTATTAAAGATAAAACGATTAAATTTCAACTTAATAAACAAATGTACACTTATAATTTCTAATTTGTACATGTGAAAAAATATCTTGTATTTTAATAGTTTTTCCATTTTGTTATAGTAATTTATTCATAAAATAATTTGAAAGTGGAGATTTTTGGCTTAAACAAATTATTTTAAACCACATATATTGTAATATATATGATTATGTAATATTAATTTTGATTCATTGATAATAATTAGTCGCTATACTATATCTTAAATAATATTAATTGTTTTAATTATAATTAGGATAAAAATATCCCCAAATAATATGAGATTGTACATTAGATAATACGCAAACGAGATGAAAAAAGAGTGTCACACGAATACGCCTTGTATCTTTCCATTTAAAGCATTTCATCCGCTATTTCTTCTCTCACGCTTAAAATAAGCACATATTTTAAGACAATACGTACCGGAGGTTCAAGGACGTAGCGGCTTCCATGAACAAATATATATTTATACTACTGCCTTTTCCTTGCGTTACAAATATTAATTTATGTATTAATAACGCCGGTTTTTTTTTCAATCAAAACATATATATATATATGAATGCTTAACATAGCCAGTCAGTTTATTGAATCAGTTTTGAGATATTATCGTATTTTATATAATGCATATAACAAGATAATAAGATATGTTAAAATAATAAATTTAAATTAGCTTATACTTTTTATAAGAAAAGTAAGGGGTAAAGAGAAGAGAGTGAATACACGTATTAAATTACATAGTTTTAAAAGTGGCAGATAAATTCTTAATTCTTGTATAAAATCAAACAATTACTTCCGTTTATAATTTGTTTTAATATTTACAAGTTAAAATGCTTGTTATACAAACATACATTAATAACAAATATTCACATAATAAGATATTAGTGGGTATTATATTATAATGAAATAAATGTTTACTAACTATTTAATTATAATAATTCTAATTTTACTATTTCATCGGTTGCATTATGTATTATAACATATTTTCTTATTCTTCTTAACAATAATAGCAATAATAAAATCTAATGGTTCATTTATACAATTATATCTACTTTAAAAACAAAAGTCATATCTTACCAATTGAATACGTTACCGATTTTATTATAATTTTGTAATTCAAATGAGATTATTTAAGATAGTCCAGTATATTGAAATATAAAACTATATTTTTTATTAGTATTAAATAATGCATATGTGTATATATATTTAAAAATGTATGATAATTTAATTTAATACTTGATTATTGGATTTTGCTCAGATCAATAATATATTGTCGCTTCTAACGTATTGTAAGAACACTAAGCATTTAAAAATGGAAACATTCATTATTTAAAGCAAATATATGGTATCGCAGAACGACATAGTATTCATCATATTCAATAGTAAAATTGAATAATTAATTTTATATAAATTAAAAATTAATAAAAGTTGTTACTTCAACATTATTATTTTATCGTTAAGAAGAAAAAAACAAAATATATGAAAAATATCTTTTTCTACGTTTCATTTTTCATACATTATTTTTTGTACAAAGGGAAAAAAAATTTATTTATAAAAAAGTTTC